GATTACAAAAATGACATCCAAAATACATGACATTCGAAAGCTAGACTGTCAGTGAAAGTCACTAACATCACCTAAATAAGTGTATCTATAGTATTGGGGGGGGGGGGGGGGAGTATATTTATCTTTTCCAAAGCAGTTATTTTAAAAGGAAAATGAGCATTTTACAGAGAAAGTATGTATGTTTGTACAAAAAATCTGAAAGCCTTCCCTGCCAGTGCTGGTGGTGATGAGAATCAGAGTACCTTCTAAGTCTTACGTAAGACTGTGAAGCTCTTGTCAGGATAAGGTGTCCCTGCTATCGTACAAGTGAGTGTATTGTTTGCTTTGTTGCTGCACTCACCTTCCACATGGGTCAGGCTCAGTCGGGCAGCAGTATGGCAGAGCAGTATCGGCACTGCCTCTCACCAATGGATGCAACCTTGTGGATCTCTGCTCTGTAGCGAGCATTGCTACTTGATCCTTTTAAGGTAGTTCCTTCTCTACTGTAATTTGGTATAGGCTTCTCAGAGTTGATTGTACACAGAATCTAATAGTGTACCTGTCACATATGAAGATGAGTCAGTCTTCAGAAGTCCTTCATTGGCATTACACAATAAACGCATTTTGTTTGGAGTCTGTATGGCTGTCTTCCACACTGATGCCCTATCTATTGTGTGTGTGTTATATAGAAATAAGAAGTTAAATTGTATGGTACTCTTAGGGAACACTGTATGAGAATCTGAGGAATTTAAGTGCCTAATAAGTTCAGAAGCATTAAACAGAAGAATTCTCTGAGGAGCTTGGGGTATCTGAGGTTGAAGTATTGCTTGGGCATTGTTAATGAAAAGAAGTCATTAAAAAATTAAATGGAGTTCTTTACGTGAGCTCCCCATTTCGTGACATGAAACAAACATTTACTAACAGCAGCTTATTACATAACTGCAGTTCTCTTCTTTAGTTTTGTTTGAAGCCCAGTGTGGGAGATGGAATTGTGGTTTTATCTGGGCATCAGTATTGTCAGCGTTGTGTATTTCATTTTAAATGGTTTTATTTTGGGAAGTGTTTCCCCAGAGACTTCGTGTAGGGGTGAATGTGTAGTTGTTACTAGTGTTCAGAAGCTCGTGACTATTAATCCTACTCTGATAAAGATTAGAAAGCAACTTACTGCAATGGTCACTGACATTTGGTGTCCTTCAGGTCTTTTTAGTCCTAGCCCAGGCAGGCCTGAGCTACTGTGAATACAGCTCTGTGTTCCAAAATCAGTCACCACTGTTGTCTGTACACAGTTGGCTTTGTTAAGATTTACTGCTTGTGTCTTTTCAGTATTTGTATTCAGTGAGCAGTTGCAAGTGCTTACGTTTAAAGAATTACGTTTCAAGATACCATTTAAGGGTTTTTTCTTAATCTACGTGTTACATTGTACATGAGAAATACAAGGAAAGCATTGGAGGTTTAAGAGGATGAGAGGTTTGAGTCAATCACTTGAGCTTCAACTTAGTAATGCAAATCTGGCTTTAAATAACCTTATTGATGTTTGCTCAGAGTGGCTTCTTTTTGGTACAAATGGCTGAGCTTTGTTGTAGTTATTGTACAGGTAATATACTGTCCCTTTAGAGATTGTCTTTGTACCCCTGATGCAACCTCTCTTTGCTTTAACAGAGTGCCTGAAGAAATGCCTGGAGCTAAGATAGATTGCATCGGTGAGCCTCATTTGAATCAGCAACCAAGAGGGTAGGGCAGGCAAAAACAGGCACCCATTGCTCTATCTGAGCTCTTGGAAATTTGAGGGGTTTGGCTATTGATGAATGAGGTTCAAGAAGAGAGCTTGATGCCAGAGAATGAAGGTCATGACAGCATGTCTGAAAGGGTCCTGACCACTTCTGTGACTTACACCTTGAAGAAGGGTGGCAAGTGTCTGTTAGGGTGAGGGCATAGCAGGGATTTGAGAAGTACTAATAGGGTGGTTGCAGTAGTGCCAGGCACCCATGTCTTGAGACAGTATTGTGTAATAAACAGTGCCATCTTCTGGGAGGAGTCGGAATGATGTCCTTGTGGTCAGCATTAAAGGTGGGGTGTAAGTGGTTTGGGGGTTTTGAGATTTCTTTGTTGTTGTTTTGGGGGTTTGGGTTAGTAGCTTTTTGTTTGTTTTCTTTGCAGGTTTGTGGTGGTTTTTTTTCTCTATCTAATAAATGCTTTGAAAAACATTATATCAGAAATTGAAATAGAGTTCTGATATCTGGTAATGCAAGTCCACATCTTATGTCTGTGAATTATCACTGATACAGTCTTTAAGGAAAAGTTTTAAACTGTGTTTTGGTGTCTGTTTAAAAGAACAGATTTTTACCAACTGCTGAGCAGTACAGGGCGGTCTGCTTTGTATGCTGAAGTCCATTATTATTTTTGTAAATATACTTTGTAAAACCTAGATAATTGCAACATCTTTTCTCATAGGCAGTGTAGTGACCTATAGGAAAATACTGAAGATCCAAAGTAAGAATGATTGCTTCACCTTTTATTGCCTTTAAGTTGTTATAACTCCTTCTTTTGGAGATGTCAGAAGGAAAAAAATGTTTTCTATCTTAAAATTATTATCCTATAAATAGTTATGTTTGGGAAATAGTCACTGTGGTGCAAAATCTGGGATTAGAGTTACTAAAATTATCCTAGCAAGTGGAATGTAAGACTCAGCATTTACTGAGATTCAGTAATGGTGTCAGATCAATCACCAGAACTCTTACTTGGAGGAAGTGAGTAATTTTAGTAACTTTAATGGAACTATATGGGAGATGCAGCTGACATTATGAGGAGTTTTTTTCATTACATGCTTTCAATTAAATAAATAAATAAAGGAACCCAAGCAAAAAGCCAGTAACAAAATACAGCCACTTTGAAAAGAAAAATCAAAGTGTTAGAAAGTCTTTATGGCTAAAATAAATTGGATGACATATATCCAAAATACAAGAATTTGTGACCTCCTGGGTGGGGAGATAGACTTGGAACTGGTTTTATTGTGTCATGATTGTCTACATAATTTACCTGCAAAGATGCAATGGTATAATACTTTCTTAACAAACAAAAAGAAACAAACAAACAAAAAAAAAAACCACCAAAATTTCTTTGGCATGTAAATTATAAGCCTGTTCTGAGTATGTCATATTAAGCATGCTGTAATAGTGCATTTTGTGTTCCAGAGGGTCTCATTTTAATGACTATGGAGTCTGAGCTTTCTGGATGGTACAGTATGGTACAATTTTTGTCTTTTTGTTTTTGTTAGAGTGGTAATTGAAAATGTTTTAAGTTTTTCAGTGTTGGTGTTAAGTTGGATTGTCACACAGTATTTAAAGAAAATATCTAACTTTCAGTATGTTCTGAATGTTTAATAACAACATTAATTTTTACTGTGTGTAGTCTTTGTGTTTATGCAAGTCTTCAGTATTAGAGTTTTCATTTCTGCCATCTGAAAGTAATTTGGTCTTGATCTGTCTTATCATGTTTATTTGAAGTTGTTGATAAAAATCAGATGTTAAAATTTCCATTTCATGGGGTGGTGTTCCTTGAGCATACCTCATACTAAGTACTGTATTTGCTTAGATACAATTTTAAAGCTTTTTTTTTTCTTGTAATTTAGTAAATTAGTTCTCTGTAATTTAGGAATAAAGTATATATAGCATTATCCTACAAACTAACCTGAAAAAACACTTGTCTATACATTTGGAAGACCCCACGTAAATAATCCTGTTACCTAGAGAGAGTTTCACTATTGCATTGCCGTAGTGGCCACAAAGTTATTTAATAGGTATAGGGTTTTTTTGCTTACTGGTGGTGATTGCTATTCTTTCTGGCTTTTAATTCTGTCATTTTCTGATAATCACTTGTGCTCTTGGAAGCCCTAGTTCAAACCGTCTGTAAGAGTTGTGGTTTAATATAGGTGAATAATTCTCTGTAACCAGACTTTAAGATTTTCAGAGTGGATGGCACAGTATTTTATTATCTGGGTTCCCATTAACTTGGAAAAAGCTGTTCCAAATATCTGAAAAAACATTGTGTGAATAGACAAGATAAGCAAAAATACAAGAAATCCTGTTTAGCAAAGGAAGAATGCAATGCAGCTGACACTGACGCTGCTCTTTTCCATCTGACTGAGAATTTCAGCAGTGGCATTCAATATAAAAAACAAGGTAGTAACTTAACATTAGATGCTGATCATCTCTCTTGGGTTTCTTGTATCATGATCTTGTTTTCTGCTTCATAGGATACAGACTAAACAAAGGATAGTATTTCTGGACAGGCAGATCAGAAAATGCCTGGTCTTGAAAGTAAAATTGTACTAATCAGAAATATTTTTGCTTAGTAATGGAAAAAGTTAGCTTTTTTTACTGTATAGCAATGGAGTGGGTAACTCCAGGGAAGTAATGTATATTGATGAAAAACCAAGAATAAAGTATGCTATGCAAATAGTAATTACATCGTAAGAAGAATACATCTACATGTGCCATAATTATGATTTCTGCCTTAGAATAGTTGTTGATGTTCTGTTTGGAAAGCTACTCAAAATTTGTTATTTTAAGTAGTTGGTATCATCTAGAGTGGAGCAAGTTACAGTAAACTGAAGTTGCTTAAAATTTGTGGTGTCTATTCTCCCTCCAGCCGAATAACATAAGTTTTTAAAAGATCCCTTCAGGAGTACGTAAAAAACAATTAGTAAAGCTTGAGAAAAGAATTTGGAACCTTGACAAACAATTTCTATCAAGCACAGCTTACAGTTAACTCTGTTTTTATAATTTATGGTGTGAGCCTTTTTCAAGAGTTTTAAGGTATTTATCAACACCACTTAATGATACACAACAGGCAATTTTCACTTAATTTTAAGGAAAAGCTGACACAGTTTACCAGGTTTGCGCCTAATGGTAAGCAGGTAATTTGCTTGGTTAAAACTTGAAGGCATTTTATTCTAGGTCCCTTAGATCTTGTGCGCTAGTAAATTAATAAGCCTGACTTTCTTCCTGTCTCTTCACATGCAGGCAGAAGGAGAAGACAGCCTTAAAAAGATGCAGCTGATGGAGCTTGCAATTCTGAATGGCACCTACAGAGATGCCAACATCAAATCACGTAAGCATGTCATAAACTTCAGGGGTCAATGCCATAGTAATATTTGATTTGGTTTTGATTCCTAAAGCTACTTTTTGGCATATGTGCAGTGGCAGCTGTGTTTGAAAGTAGAAAGCAGTGAAAACCCAACAAAACACTAGGCAGCTGTTGCAAAAGATCTTCTGGAGATAAATTCTAATACTTTGGGGAGTTTTGTTTAGTTCATCATCTCCCCTTTCTTTTAACAGTATGTCTCGGTTGAAATATTTACAAATATATAGATAAATTCAACCCTTAAGACAGTTTTTTCTATTTTACAATTATTTTTTCTTAAATGCGTATAAAGGACAATAGACTCCTTTTCAATTTTATCTTTAGAGATGTAATCTGAAAATGTTACAGATGTCCAGGATACTGTGGATACATTTTTCTGTATTCTTCCTTTCATCTTGCTTGCATGTGTCCCCCCAATGTTACGTTTTTCCAACAATTCATCAACTGATTTCACAGCTGAGTTCACAGGGATCAGTGATGTAATGAGCCATTTTTACAGTTTCTTCCATTACATTTGTGTGAAAATGCTTTTGCAAATGCATGTATGCAGAGGTTTACACTTGAAAATTAATTAAATACACCTACTAACGAGAGTGTATACCTATTATGTGTAATACAAACTATTTTCTCTAGTGGAAAATCTAATTTCTCCTCCTGAAAATGTAGCTGCTGATACTGTTCCAAAGTAAATTTTGCTGTAGCTGTGATACAGATGTCAAATACAAGCACAGTTAAATCAGTCTTTTCACTAAGGGCCTACTGATATTTGCAAATTTGTTTCTCCACACAGTCACCATTTCAATGTTGAATATGTTTAAAGGTTGGAATGCAGTTAGGTCAATTTGAGACTGCTTACACCAGTGTAATTATTCAAATTTGAAAAGAGACATAAGCAAGGGCTTTTACCACTACAGTGGTAATGGTAAATCTTTCAGCCCTAGTGAACACTGTAATATTTAAAGCTAGATGAGTTTTAACTGTATTTTAGTCTTCAAATTATTGCAAATTTATGAGTAAAATGGTTTTGGATTAGTTGAAGTTGATGCAAACTATTGCATAGAAACCTTTGTATTAATTAGAACAATTTCTTTTATGTATTTCCACTGGTCTATTTTTATCAGTGTAAGTGGGAAGATTGAGATTTTTTTTTTTTTAACTAGAAATTTCCACACTCATATTCACTTCTTCTGATAATAGAGTTTCACTGTTTGTGTTTTGATTTAACTGAATTCTTGAGGGTCTAGAAGCAATAATGGTTTATTTCCATTTAAGAAAGTGAAAAAGTTGGAGGGTGTGTTTGTTTTGTTTAATTATGAATTCAGTCTGAGCACTTGTGATTTTTTTATTATTTTATTTTTTTAAACAAAAGAGTCTCAAATCAGAAAAACTACCACTGCATTTCTCTTTTCAGAACACCTATAAGTTAATGGAACCAGTGTAGATTGACAGCAGTGCACAGAAATCTATAAATTATAACCCTTTAAGATTGGCTGTTAGCAGCTGACATGTTAGTGTTTAAGAAGTTCATCTTGTTGTACCAGCAGGCTTCAAATAACATGCAATGAAATGTGCTAGCACAGTTTAAAAAACAAAACCAAAATCAAAGAACCCAACACCTGTTTTCTTCTAATACAAAGCAGGTATTTTATTTTGGGGAATTTGATATGGAAATCAACCATTTCTGTGTTTGTTACTTCATGCTAGAGTAGGAGAGGGGATGCTTTGTGTTTCTAGGTCATCTTTAACTTCATTGATCCTGGAAACTGGAACTGTGTATATGTTTAAATACGCTTTTAAGACATGTAAGAACTGTAGGTTCATAGGGCAGCTCTGCATAACTGAGTATCTGTGGACTCTATAGTGGCACTAAATTTTGTACTCTGATTATGACAGTATTTCCCTCGTATCTTCTGCATGCATCTCAGTCTCATGCAGTCTTGATAGCATAAATGAAGAAATGTGGTCAAAATGGAGCTTTTGTGCTGTGTAACCTGTTTGAGAAATCTACCTCACTGTTTTATAATGGCTTTTTTATTTTGCATGTTCATACTTAATCACACTGGAAAATGGAAAGCTGTTTGCATTTGAATGGTGTGCTTTGGCACTGTGTGATCAGCGCATGTACTAATGATTTCCTTTTATTTTTCTTCTTTCCTACTTTTCTCCTTTTTTCCCATTCTTTCCACGTTTTGTACTGCTATCTCCATACTTTCCTCTGAATTTCTTTGCTTACTGTAGCAGCCCTTGCCTTTTCTCTTGCAGCAACAGCCCAGGCTCCAAGGATTATTACTGGGCCTGCGCCTGTTCTCCCACCAGCTGCCCTGCGTACTCCTACGCCAGCTGGCCCTACCATAATGCCTTTGATCAGACAAATACAAACCGCTGTCATGCCAAACGGAACTCCTCATCCCACTGCTGCAATAGTTCCACCTGGACCCGAAGCTGGTTTAATTTACACACCATATGAATACCCCTACACGCTGGCACCAGCTACATCAATCCTTGAGTATCCTATTGAACCTAGTGGTGTATTAGGTAAGACCTTTGTATGTGGATGATTGGAGAATAAATTGCTTATGCTTTTGTGATATTTGCAAGGTAGAGGTTATGGGGCTCAAAGAAAAAAAAACTGAAGCAACAGTCTTATCCCAGGTGTATCAAAACTACATAGGAAAACTGTTCACATGGTGTAACTCTTAATGCAAAAAAATATTTAAAATGTTTGTGTGTTTAGTGTGTTAATAAGACTACTGAAAAGAAAACGTTTGTGTGATGCTGTATGGTAGATAGACAGGCAAGGAAAAAAACCCAAACCTAAGCAGTTGACATCCGTTATATGTTGTTTGGGCTCCTGTGAATAGTCAGATTTGTTTGTGCTCTCTTTAACATAAATTTTAATGTTCAGTATTCTGTGGATGAGAAAACTTCCTATTTTGCTATTCCTTTTCAGTAGTAAAGCTGGAGGGATCTTTTTTCAGTTTATAACCAGAAAATAATTTCAGTGAATTAATATAAAGCAAACTAAAGGATGACACAGTTAGCAATTTTATTGATGGCTTTTTTTACATACATCGGGTTGAAATGTCCATCATTCCTAATATTTCAGGTGATTCACTTGCTGTGTGAAGGCAAGAATGATAAAGCAGCCATCGCAGTGCAGTTAACTGGTCAATATGAAACAAGGAGTTCCAACAATTTCTTTCTTCTCTACCCTCTACACAATCTAAATAATCTTTCTCTTCCATTTGTTCTGAATTGTGTATAACCTCAGTGCTGCATAATGTTGATTTTATAGGACTTTGATCTTAGTTTGCTCAGTGGCAGTTATTGACTTAAACAAATTCTAAACATCTCTAATGAACACTAGACAGTAATGTTCAAAGTCAGTATTTTGTTGAAAGTATTGAAAAAATAGTTGTTCACTTATGTGGCAAATACTTGTTGAGTTACTTGTATGTATGCATGCTCCCACACTATACTTTTTACAGTAAAAAAGAAAATGTATTTCAGGATTAGTGAATCAATAATAAAAATTATAATATTTTAAAATATTAATAGGACAAAATATAAATATAGTAGGACAAATGTACGCAGAAGGTCTATCTTTAATCAGCTTATAGTTGTGAGCTACCCCATAGCCAAACTTCGGTGAGCATATGATGATGTCGTTTACTTATTTTTTACAAACATGTAAATATCCTCCTGAGCTCCTCTACCCCTAGTCTGCAAGTCCACTTGGGATATGTTGTGGGATAAGCTTACAGTAACAGAGGTCATAGCAGTAGCTGTCAGTTGCTGGTTAGTGGCAAAGTCCCCTCCTGAATTCAGTTAATAGCGAGTAAAGAAATACATTATTGCATAATAATAATTGAATATGATGCAGGGAGCTTTTGGATTTCTCTCAAAATTTTCTGTAAGGAGTGGGGAAGAGTACTCTGAAAATGGTATCTGAAACCATCACATTCTTTTTGGGCATAGCTGTGAGAACACATGTGTATTGGCCAAAACAGATCTCACCAAATAATTGTATTTAAAATAGGAAAAAGCAGGGAGAGAGTGGGGAGAAGACCACACTCTCACTTAAGTAGCACTAAATCAGTAGCTCTTCATACATCTGCTCTATTATCTGAGCAATTGTATAGAGTTAACTGAATTAAATTAGTTTTTATTGTGTTTTATAATATGCTCATTCTCATTACTAGTATATTATATTTTGTCCATTTTTGTGGTGGACCTTTAAGATGTCTTAGCAAAATTATTTCTAAAATGACAGAGAAATGCATCCCTGTTAGTATTCTGGGGATATTGGTGTTGGGATCAAATTTTAGTTGGTGACTAATTTTCAATTCCCTTCCTTTTATCTTCAGGTATGGCTTTCCCAACGAAAGGCTAAGAATTCAAGAACGGTCTTAACTGATCCTTCATCAGATCTGAATTTTAACAAATGCTTAGTTTTCAGCAGCCTTGAAAAAAGCTTGGCCTAGCAGTCAGTGACTTACTTGCACTTTTTTGCACATAGATTTAAAATAAAAATAGTGCTATTAATTGGATTAGCTCCTATTATTACAGAGTAGCTGTAATTTATGAGTGTATAGTAGTATACTGACTGCTAAGTGTTCTATATAGTGTTTGCTTTACTAATCACCTAATTCATTGCAGTTCATACTTATTGACTTAAAGTTTAAAATCACAATCTGTAGGCTTGAAGAATTGCTTTAAAACTTTTTTGTGGTAGAACTGGAAGTGATCTTAAGGTTAGCAAATAATTGTCAGTATTAAAAGATGGCATTATTTAAAATAGTCCTGCTGCAAGAAAGGCACTTCAGTGAATATGTGACTAGTAAAGCTTAAATGTGCTTGGGTCTAATAGATTTCATGAAATACTGTAATTTTGGGATTGTAAATGAATGGATTAAACAGGTTAAGGCCAGGATGTTTAAAATAAATGCAATATTAATCTGCACAGATAAACTTCTTTTTAAGATTAAGATTTGAAACTACTGTGCCTTAACTTGTTGCTTTTCTTAAAATGAACTTTTGTAGTTAATGATCATTTAAATCCATTTTGATAAACCTGCTGTTAATGTTTTCTTTGAATGTTTTCTAACTTTGTCTTGGTAATTGCAATTTAACTAGGTGCGGTGGCTACTAAAGTTCGAAGGCACGATATGCGTGTCCATCCTTACCAAAGGATTGTGACCGCAGACCGAGGTTAGTTTAGTTCTGCAGTTCTTGTTTGTAAGAAGTGCTTTGAGTGTACATGAGATTTGCAACACCACAGCTGGTTAACCAAATACCCAGTTTTCACCCATTCATTATTTTTCCCCAAAATAAGAACAGTTCGCAATTTAAAGCTTTGGGAATGCTTGTGGTTTTAAAAACATTTTGTAAACTTGGCTTTCCCAGCTCAGTTAAATAAATAAGCTTTGTGATGCGTTTAATATAAATTATATAACTGATTCCCTTTTTAAAACTATTTAAAGATTCATCTGTATCAGGAAACACTATGAATTCACTACTACAGTAATTAATTTGGCCATGTTTGCCCCTTCTTCCCCCAGTTTGCTCTTTTAATTGGTGTGGAAATATCAGATTGGTGTTGCAAAATAAAATGAATGGATGGTTGCTTAATGAGAAAGAAGTAAAGGAATAAATGCCTCCTGTCTGTGTCTGGAGAAATCTGAAGATTTAGCTTCCTTTTTTTCCAATAAACTTTTGAGCCACTGTACTGTATATTATGAGGAGGATGCATGTTCTCAGATACCTGACTGAATTCAGAAAGGTAAGGGCTGTGAAGATACTACTTCAAAAGTTGTTTGAGTTTGAATTACTGAGGGTGGGGGAAGGGAGCGTGTTTTGGTTTTTTTTACCAAAATCTATTTCTTGGTATTTGCCTTTTGCTGCTAAAATGTGTAACCTGAAGGAGAAGCAACTTTTGAAGTCCTGTTGGTGAGATGACATCCAATATTTGGGCATCTCTCTTTAACCCTTGAATGGAAAGTAAATCTTCATTTTTCTCCTGTTCCTCAAGTGTAATGCCTTTGGACCCCTGAATGAAGTAATTAAGCTTATTGAGAAAAGTGATATTTTCGGTTTATTGACATTGCTGAGGAAGAAGTGTGTGGGATGAATTCTTATCCCATCCCTGCTGCTGACTCACTGTGGGTTTCAGCAAGTCATTTAATCTCTCTGTGTATGTTTTCCCATCTGTGAAACAAGGATAATAATACTTCCCTACCTCACAGGGGTGTTGTGGGGGTTCTTGTTTTGTACAGGGCTTTGAGGATGCAAAGCGTTACGTGCCAAGTATTATTATTCTGCTCTCATCAAAATCAGTCTTGTGCAGGCTTCCATGATATTGTAATATGCAAAAGTCAAATCCTGGTGACAGATCTGACATCTCCTAATATTGACTATACTTCACTTCTCACAATCTTCCATAAATTAACTACAAGAAACAATACAGATTTCAGGCAGTACAGAAAGAAGGGCCCTAATGGATAGTTGCTATATTTGTGCATATGTTTTTAGGCTTTACACAAAGTACAAAGCTGAGAACAAAACACTACTTAAGTTTTCTGGAAGAGTGCTTCTTCTTTTCTATCACTGCACACTATTTACAGCCCATTGGCTTTTTCTCATTTCTCGAGAACTTTTCAATGGGCAACAGGGTATAATCATATCCCATGGGGGAGGGGGAATGAAATAGAAAAATAGAAAAAAAGGTTAAAACCTATCTCTGTCAAGAGTAACGGATAGTAGGGGTTTGGTTGTCTTTGAAAGCTTGACCAGATGTTGCAAAAGACAGTTTGTGCTAATGGTCTTTTATGATCTGCAATGGTAGTTTCGGGTGACAAGTGAAACTACCTTTTTATATAATTAGATATTTGCCTGAGACAGCTAGGAAGTATACAGATAAAGCACGGGGGGGGGCGGAATATACCAATTTGTAGTTTAAGTTCATCATTGTAGTGTTTACTCAACATAGATTTTAAATATTTTGCAAAGAGCCTAGATGTTTCATCTGGGTCACTTACAAGTAATTGAAAGCAATTATTGGTATCAGTTCACCTTTTAAAATACAGCCAATTTCTGATGTTACAGTGTTCATCTCTCAATATTGCAAGCTCATATCAGTATTTACAATATTCACCTATTTGGTAGTGCTGTCACCAATATACTTCTGCAGCTGTGGCCATGAAAAACAATGTCAGCAAACCGAAATTTTTTTCTTTCTTTCTTTCTTTCTTTCTTCAATACAGAACATTTTTTTTAATATAGTTAAATATCACTAAATCTATATTCACATTCATTGGGTCTAAAGTTGTTTTCATTTTTGGGTTTTTAAATTCTAAATCCACTTTCAGATGACTTTGTAGTACTACTGCATTCACTTTTTAAGTAGGTTTTATTCTTTGCATAGGGTGTGGGTTTTTTTAGTAGATAAGCACTGCATTAAAAGCAAGAATCCCCAAATGTTTAAATGGTTTACTCTTACAACTAAGCATTTAGAATTGGTGAAGGGTTGAAAAAGTATAGCTCATTTTAACTCCCCAGTTTATAAATAATACAAAATTGAATTTGATGCATATAACAGAGAGACTGACTGACTTAATTGTAATAAACTGTAAATGGTGTTGCACAGTTGAGAAACCTGTGTGTACTGTAGAAGGCCAGAGACTTGGCAGAGGATGTATCACAGGTGTACTGGTATTTTTAAAAGGTAGCTTGCTTTGATTATAAACTCCACAAGAAATATTAATGCTGAGAATTTTCTTGAATGTTTTATCAAACCAACTTTCACATAATTTATATATAAATCTTAATACCATTTAATCAAAATTGTTATCAGTATCAAAATGCTTTAAGAGTCTGTTTCTAGTATACCTGTAAAGTGGTGAGATTGTGCCACATAAGATATTTATTTTTATTTTTGCTTATTTTTGAAAGAGCCATTTTAATTTAAAGGAATCCCACTTAGCATGATTCTGAAAAAAATCAGGGAGCATGTGGTCTCATTTATGTTACAGTAGCAATTTTTTTGTAGTGTTATGAACTGTATCCTAAATGATAGGCCATTTCTATTATGTGAAAGTAAATTAGCCCACAAGAAGGATTGCTAAATCAGTGCTATCTGTGAATATTACACCTACTGGACTTCATTTTATGTAATGGCACAAATCTGACTTTGCACTGAATACCTTTCTCACTTTCATCTCCTCTGCCTTAGTCAAAATGGCAACAGTACAAAAACTTTTATCAACCTCAGAATTTATTTTAGCTATAATTAAGCTGTTGAACGAGTCTTAAAAAAAATATAAAAAAAAATCATACTACTGTTAAGTGGACCAAGTTTGGTGAAGGAGAATGTGAGAGAATGATTAAAGAAGGAACAGCTCCAGAACATTTGGAATGATAACTTTCCACTTGAGAACTTTTTTATGTTTTACTGTAATTTGTTTATGGTTTTGGGGTTTTTTTTTTTTTTTTTGTTGTTGTTTTGTTTTGTTTTTAAGAGAAAATAGTATTTACAGGTGGCTTCTTTTAAAATATAAAAATATAAAGCAGGAATGTATATGAAATGTCAGATTCTATTGTATTTGCAGAGTATTAGCTTTGAAAATGAATAAAGAGAGCTGTTTGTAGTTTTAAAATGCCTTATTAGTACCAATTAGATATTTTCTCTATTTTTTGATGTACTTAGAGCTTTTAAGTATAGACTTTAAAATGGCAGGACTTTTACACTGTTTACATGCAAGTGCATTTTATAAGTGTCCTATATGTGTAAAATAGTATTTTGAACGGGAAAATGCTGGCTAAAGTAGAAGGCTGAGCGTTTTCCTGGTTCCCACGGTGATGCCTACGTTGCTAGACTACAGTTTAGTATTGCTTTGTATCATGAGGCCAAGAAATTCCATGTTGTTTGTAAATAGAATAAATGAAAGGCAATAAAAAATTTATTGAACAAAAACCCTTTGTTTGGCCCATAGTTTGTTGATCCAAATTGTTTCTCTAAGTCCAGAATTCCTTAGATGACTCCATTCTTTTAACAACCAGTTATTAATAATCACATCCATCATTAATAGTTGCTTTAATGCTTGCACCTGGGGAGATACTAATGCTTAATAGCAGTCAGATACTGATGCTGTGCACTGACTGTTGTTCCAGAAATCTTCTACCCAGTTCCAAAACTGTTCATTGTTTTTTGTTTTCCAGTTTCCTTCATCGACTGCTACTAACCATTAGTCGATAGTTGTATTTTATCTCTATTTCTCCTGTTAACCAGTTTTGTGGGAGCGGGCTTCTCCTTCACGTGTCCAAATCATGATGGAGGGCTGTCATGATTTTAATGCATTCTGTAGATGGTGTCAATCAGTATGTCAGAATTAAACATGCTTGGTTTTTATTAGTTGTGATTAGTTTTCATGTTGTCATTAAGCCGTCACTAGCTGGAACTAATCTCTTCTCTATCTTTTCTTTCTTTTTTGTTTTGTTTTTTTTTTTGTTTCTAACCACCCAGCCGCCACCGGCAACTAACCTATGACCTTCTGACCTCTGAACTCTTCACCCAATGATGACCTGACCATGCCTGCCTGCTGATCAGTTAACTGGTAAACGCCTTTGCTTGCCTGTCTTCAGTGCAGCGAGCTGGGGCACTTGTCCGTTCGTCTTACCATCTAACAAAACAGACAAAGAAATTGTTGTCCTCCAACTCCGCTTTTTGTTGTTCTCCTGTTTGGGTGAAAGTGGTTCTAGAACCTGCACTGAATAGTAGTAAAGCAATAAGGTCCAACTCATCCCTCCGCACTGATCATCCTCTAGTGTCCTGCCCCAAGCGAACGGTAAGGAGGCCTCGCACGAGATGGAGACAGATGTCCCTTAACTACCCGATGACAGAGGCAGTTACTGTGAGAGACTTCTAGGAATATTTTTCTTCTCAGAAAAAAAAAAAAATAAAAAAAAAAAAGAGAAAAACTAAAATAAGGAAGTCAAAGCTCTCTCTGAATGTACTGTGTGATGATGCATCATGCATGAACCTTTGGTCAGGGATGTCATTGGGGAAGGGATTCCAAAAAGTATTCAAAATTTGATATGCTGTTTAGTCACTACCGGTGCCCTCAAAGGGCAGATGTTGCAGCCTTTTTTTCTATTGCCTGCCAAATTGGACATTTTAAAGGAAAGTGTGCCATGAAATGCAGATGACGATGACTTTTTAGAGCTACATTAATGCAGAGAACAAAACAGCAACACTATTAAAACAAAATCTGCGTTAAATTACTTTAACCATATTTTAATCTCCTCGGAAGATTACATGAGAACAAGGTACATGCATTATGTGTCACATTACTGGGCAAACTGTTCAAATATTTTTTTTAAAACCTCCCTGTATAGAAAAAAATTCATTAAGGATGTAAAAGCCATGCTTGCCTATTTGCTGTATACATGTAATGAAATTGTAGATAAAGTGTAGTGCATTGAAACAAAATGAACAAAAAAGTAGATACTTTTACTATACAAGGGTGCTGGTGCAGAAAAAAAAATATATTTTTTGAAATGTAGCATTTTATACTTTCAAGTGTTATAAAAAAAGAAAAAAAGAACAAAGAAACCCTTTATTTCATTAAATGATTTTTTCTGGTGGTTGTCAAGAAACAAAAGACCAAAAGAGCCTTTTAGTCTTTCTTTTTTATTTTTTAAGTATTGGAATAAGTCTAAAGAAAAGGAAGTGCCTTATTTTCTTCATGGTCATTTAGTCAAATGTCTTGTATAATCAGCTTCTCCCTCAGACAAGTTACTGCATGCCACTCAGTCGCCCAGTATGTGAAAGAAGCTGTGAGGGAAGACAAATGATGAGTTGACCATATTAATTACCTGATTTTTGCCATAACTAGTGTGACGTGACTTTGCCAAAATCTCATTTCATAAAATATTTGTTAAGGTTTTGCCAAACCAGCCCATTGGTATTTCAACCACTCTACTTTTTAAATCATAGCAAATGCCATACTTGTGTAATGTAAACCAAAGGGTTCCGTGATACACTGTCTCATGCTAAATGAGACTATTAGCTGACAAAAGCTTTTAGAGCTGGAAGTATGTCATTTTTGTTCAGGGATGGAGATGAGTATTTTTGCTTTCGGTTAGAATAAATATACATCAAATATAGTAGGCTTTGGCATCACCCAGAAAACTGATGTTCTGTGGGTAATGAAATCGAAAGTGCTTAGCTGGTTTTCAGTGATAGTCTGAGTATGTCCCTGGTTTTCACAAGCAGCTCCTGCAGTGACAAACAGCATGCAAGTTATTTATATCAGTTCTTCCTTGATTATTGTTAGATTTGCCCACTGGCTTTTCCTCATAAGGTAAGCAGGAGAAAGACATCAGTTAGTTTTTTGAAGTCCAGCTGTACTTTATTTTTAACCCTTATTTCCACGAGATTCATACAGCTGAGCAATTGCAAGAGCTGAAGCTGTTGAACGCACAGTATTTAATTCTGACAACATTAAGTATTACTTTGTGTGGGGCTCAGTACTAAGCTTGGCAAATATCAGGTGATAACTTTATTCCCCTCTTGTCAACTTATTCTCCTCCTGCAAATCTTCACAGCTTCCAAATGAAAGGTCAATAGTAAGCTAAGAGGGCTTACATTTTTAAGCACCTGCATGGTGACCTCATCTTACATCTTGTCTCACCTGGAAATAATTATCAGTTTATTTACTATGCAATAGACATTCATCCTTGGTATTCAGCTAGCTTTTTGTTTATTGTGCCACTGGCTTTGTCTTCCTGTTACACATACAGTTGTGTTGATCTTATTTACAGTATATGCTGTGCCATTTTGATTTAATTTTGGTTGGTTGGTTGAATAAACTTGCGACACTCAAAACATTTGAAGAGAGATTTGCTAAAACAATACCAGTATTTGATCCAGTTTCATCTCAACTATGATAAAACTTGGACATTTTAGATGTTTATCAAAGGTCTTTTAGTGGGGCAGAGGGGAACTGTATGAAATAGACGTGTGACATGTGAAAGTAATGTTTGCTCTGAACAAACTTCTGAAAATTTAGTTGACAAAATTTTGGATGAACTTAAAAAAAAAAAGCATGACTTTGAAATCTCTGAATGCCTTGGTTCTCAGTATTATCATTCTTTAATTACTTTTTCTTTATTAAAATAAGTAGTTTTAAGACTTCTTTCTGACAGTATTATGTAATTTTTTTAGAGTGGGTAGATGGGAGTGTCGCTTGTATGTAACCGTACAGATGACATGTATTTGTCTATTCTTTATTATCTTAGTAGTTTCATGCAATGTATGTACCATAACCAACCTATTGCCTATGAGAAACATGTAAGATAATGTATTTACAGCCATTGTTACAAGTTTATAATGTATTTTTCTATCTTGTTTTATATGTATGTTATATAACATTCAAAAGAATTTTTTTCCTGATTGAGAAAAAAGGATACAAAATGCAAAACCCACAATTTTGATAACTGAAAAATTGCCAATTGTTTTGCAGTACTTTATTATATTGGGAGTGTTGTCTTTCTTGGGCTTTTAGTTAGCTACTGGATGAATACATTAGACATATTTGGGTTTTAGTTGGGTTTTTACATAGCTTGCATTTAAATTCTTTGGTTCTTTGCTGTTTCTATTAACCCATAGCATTATTTTAATAAATGTTATAATACCAACCTACTAACTCTGGACTATGTCTGTTTATTAACCATTACATGTTTAATTAAAATAAACAAATAAAGACGGAAGAATGTAAAGTCTTGAGTTACTGGACTAACCCTGGAGAACGTGACCACAGATAACACAACGTGACTTGTTTTTATGTTGTTTGTCGGCTTGACATTCTGCACACTACTATTAAGTTGGCTTTGGTCATTCTGGCCTTTTACCTTGGGGAATAGGTGCCAGTAGAAATGGGAACAAAGTAGCATTTTTGAGGCATTCTTCTTGTAGAGTCTTGCCACTTGCCTTTCAGCATCTGCATTACTAATTCCACACTTTCTTTTTTTCTCTCTAAAATAATGACTGTCGGCTCACAGCAAAAGAGCAAAGATGCCTGTATATTGGTAAATCGTGATGGTGTACAGAAACCAGTTTGATTCTTTGTTGAACCATTCAGAGGTTGCAGTTAATCTCGTAGTAATTTGTGATTTGTTGGTTTTGGCACCTGGTTCACTGTTGCATCATGCGACATTTCTAAGCACAAAATACTTCTAGATAGAATTACCATACATTTAAATCTGGAGGTTTTCTTTGCCACAAGTGCCTTATTTTCTTCCTGCCACATGGTTTTGAACTTTTGTTTGTACTTCTGCTATAGTCTATCAGTATTGTGTAGCTCAGGGGAGTACGATTTCTGTAAGCCAAAGGTCAAACCAGATCATTTCCTAATGACTGCAGAAAGTACAAAAATACACCTTTCACTATATTACCAAGCAACAGCCATTTCAGATTCCAGGGCTGTCTTTATGTCATCTTTATCCCTGTGGATGACTGTAGCAACATGAATGCAGGGAATTGAAATGGAGAAAATGCTGTTTTGAATGTACATCTATGCAAATATTTTTACAGAAACATTTCTCTCCGAAAGCTTCTGCTGCCTGAGGCTCCTTTACATATCCCCAGGTTTTTCTCCCAGATTTGTAATCTTAACTGGACAGTGATTGCAGCTAATGTCAAGGGAGATCCTCAATGTAGATAACTCTTCAGATATCAACGGGTTTTGTGAAAGCTTAGTCTTCTCGTGTAGATAGTAAAAAATCAGATGAGTCTTTGCATCTGTTCAAATGCCTTCTTTAATTTATGTTTGAAATTACATATCTTGAAATCCATGTGATATAAAACTTTTATTTTAAGAAGTTCTCACAGTATTTGTAGGAATTAAAATAGAATGCATGTTTATAGAGAAAAACAGTCTAGCTCTGATGAAGATGTTAGTTTTCTAATGGCATGTAGTTTTACTTGTACAGGAATCTTTCTTAATTTAACAGATCATGAATACCTTGCTATCCTCAGCGTCAGCCACAGGGAGAGGATAAATTTAGACATTTAGTACAGATAACATCAGGACCTTTTGGTTGTCCTTTCAGAGTCAAAAATATATGTTCCTAAAGAATTTTGTCAGAAGGTTCAGGTGAAAATATTCAGATGGGACAAAAGATTAGTATTCTATGTTGAAGAATACTTCTGTTCCCAAAACTACTGCCTTTCTGTAATATTTTTATTGTTGTGTATTTTTATTACATACGAAATACTGTCATACTTTGTCCACAGTGCATTTGTCCACAGTGCATTTCATCTCATTCTTCTTTATATGCAGTAGTAAAGGTTGCTGTAGGTTTTGAAGTACTGGTAAGCTGAATGACAGCAAAAAAGGAAAACTCTAAAGTCAAAATTTTGTATTAGCTGTTATCCACCAGGTGTATTTCTCAGTTTACATAAGTGCCTGTCTGAAAATTTAACTATTTTATACTTTGCCTGCTTATAGTAAAGAAATGAGTTATTTTTAAAGCTGAATTTAAGGATGACTTCAGTATTGCTACATCGCTGAAGCCAGGTTGTCCTGTATTATTATTCTGGGTTTAAATTGTCCTAACATTTGAAAGATCATACATTCAAGTCAATTGGAGAATTGCTGTTTGATCCAATCAAGTGGGATTTATCTTAAGGTAAATGTTATTTTTTTCAGTAGGTCAGAATATAAACAAAAGCATCCCAGAGCCTTTCAAAGTAAAATTTGAGCAATGCTATTCACATCTTTAAAGTGAACTGTTGTAGCAAAGTACAACAAATTTGGTTTCTCCAAGAGTTTGTTGGGTGGGTTCTTGTGCTACCAGTCCAGAATATAAAGAGTCTTCAGTGGCATCTTTGGAATGTTTTAAATGTATACTGACAACATTGATACTTTATTTGAACATACCTTTAAAAATTAATCCCAAATCCATACGTAATGAATGGCTTACTCCTAGATTGTACTCTGTGAGGGGGGACCACTAAAAAGCTTTTCTGCCCTGAAAATGTAGGGAAACATGGAAGGGTGTTGCCATCCATTAAGAAATTGCTTTAATTTGGGGGAAACAAAAGTACACGAAACCTGATTTTTTGTGTCTTTGTAAAAATAGCAGCCGTCATAATCGGCACATTGTACAGAATGGAATCTGAGTAACGCATTCCTAGGTCTGGAAGTACATAATTGGTTTTGGAATCTCTATTATGTTTTTAATAAATTTGATATATTTTTCTAAAACACTATTAATGGAATAGTGTCCATATAACACATGAACCTTAGCATTAGCACATGGTAATCAATGTTGAATCAAACTGGTTAACAAAAGTACAGTGCTCTTCTTTCTATGTGCCTGCGCACTAATTGCAGGTGGTATGGTTCTGTGTAGGAGATGGGTGTTGGGCGCAGCAGGTCGCGGTGCTAATTTCTTGGTGCCAGCAGTTCAGATGTCCATCTTTGACAGCAAACTAACTGGGAGAAATCTGATTCCCAAGGCAAAAATTAACTGAGATGTTAGAAGAATTAACTGAGAAAACACCAACATCAAACAACATACATACATATATGCTTTGACTTGTATTAATGGCAGTTTGTGTGAAACATATAAGGTTTTGTTTGTGAAAAATAATGTATTCTGAAGGGGGAAAACAAACATGGACATTGCCAAAACACATGTAAATAAAACACCATTTATGACTGTACATTATGTGCAATAAAGTAACTGGAAAAAGTGCATGTACTTTATCCTCAAAAGCAAACTGACAGCTCTCAAAGCTGTAGCTAGTTCTATTTTCTGAAAAGTTAAATTTTATTCTGTATCCAAACAGCAGAATAAAGAATGTACATTTTTCACACTTCAATTTTCATTGATGCTTTTAGCAGTGTTACAAAGGATGTTCATTGTTGAAGAGGCTTAAATTTCATGGACCTCTGATTACCAAGGTATTTTCTGCTCAACAGTTTCTTATTGCATATGCTGTTGTTGTCTGTAACTGTAAATAAGGCAAGTATGCATTATGTACTGGAAACATGCAGATCACATTTTGAATGTAGATTTGTGGATGCACCGATTCTATCAATTTCTGAAAGACAGCCAAGTGACTTTTCTGTTACTGTATCTCTGTAATGTTACAACTTCATAGAGCAAATAAGGAAGAGGAGTACTACTTTGTAGTAAAGCTAGCATACTTGTTGGGGGGATTCTGGTTGCTATAGAAAATAATAACAAATCTGACTATTATCTAGTATGAATCAAGTGAGAAACACTCTGGAGAAGAAGTAGATTATAGTGTTTTAACTATTTCAGTAATATTTATGTGATGATAGTTTTAACACAGTTTCTTTACCAGGGTATTCTTTGCCTACGAAGTCTTTCTGCTTTACACTGTTCAAATGAAAAATGGTTTGCTTCAGATGTAAGTGTACAGTGGATGAAATATGACATCTTCAGGAGTCTGATAGAATAGGGGAAAGGAAGCTGAATACCAACATTTAGGCACACATCCTCTCCTGTGCTCCTCCAGGAAGGAAGTAAAATTTGCATACTTAGCATTACAAAGTAGCTTCCATGACGAATCTCAAACCAAGTGGTGGCATATAGTTATATCTGAGGTAGCTTTAATCTTAGTAGTTCACAGAATGTAGAGATGCTGTTTAGCATGTGCCACTCCAGAAGGTAAAGCATCCCTGGACATTGTTGCGGTTACTTTGGATGGCAATACAAGCTTGCCTGTACACTGTAGTCCTGGCTTGAAGTGTGGGCGCAGCCTCACTTTCTGTGTGAGATGGCTTTGCAAACCCACCTATATCCCTGGAAAACAGAATTGTAATTCCTTATGTCTTGCACTAAGTCAGTAATACCTGTTAATGATCCTGTTCATGCTAGGAACTGCATTTATTGGTCTACAAAATAAAGCTAGAAGTGGAATCTAATGATTGGAAAGTTTCTGTTGATAGATTTTGCTACTGTTCTACCAATGCTTTGTGTGTAAGTGGAGAATGGCCTAACATTATGAGATGTTTCCTGAATGTTTTTACTACAGTTACCGTAGTTCCCTTGAGGAAATACAAACTTAATCATTATCTGTGTCAAAATAATGGGAAGCATTTGTACCAAAGAGTGCAAAACTCAGTGTCTGAAATTACTGTCTTTGACGGTCAGGTCTACCAACATCAGTAGGCTGTTTTCTGTACCCCTGTTGTTCTCGAACAGTTAAAAATAGACAACTAACAGCTCCTGTTGAGTTGAACTCTTAAAAATTATCAATCCCAAGTAACCAGTAACTCCCCAAACTAGGCATTTTAAAGTATTTGTTACAGAATAGCATAGCATATATTTGCCTTTTTTAATTTCTGTCACTCCATTTTCAGTGTTTTTATCTTCAGCAACAAGGTTGACTGCTTTGAATAGTAAACTGAATAAACTCAGTAGTGAGGTTCAAGAATAAAACACCAAATAATGGCACGCCTCTCAACATGGTATTTCAGCAACTCATCACTTAAGTGAAGGTGCTTTCTCTCAATCTTGGATATTTGTAAATCACTTACGAAGACAAGAGGCTAAGTAGAGAAGTTACTTTTGTTAGTGGGAGCCTTTCAGAATGAATTCTGTGGATTTTCAGTTCCCTAAAGGTTGGCCTTTCTGAAACAAGTGGTACTTTCACTGCCTGAAGCT